CTATATGAATCTTAGAACGCCATTGTGCTCGATCCTGTGTCATGTCCTTCGTTAGATCCAAGTACTCTAAGTCTTTTCTTAGAGTCTCTTCCAAAGTTTTCCTAGGTCTTCCTCTACCCCTTCGGCCCTGAACCTCTGTCCCATAGTCGCATCTTCTAATCGGAGCATCAGTAGGCCTTCTTTGCACATGTCCAAACCACCGTAACCGATTTTCTCTCATCTTTCCTTCAATTTCGGCTACTCCTACTTTACCCCGGATATCCTCATTCCTAATCTTATCCTTTCTCGTGTGCCCACACATCCAACGAAGCATCCTCATCTCCGCTACACCCATTTTGTGTACGTGTTGATGTTTCATCGCCCAACATTCTGTGCCATACAGCATCGCCGGCCTTATTGCCGTCCTATAAAATTTTCCCTTGAGCTTCAGTGGCATACGGCGGTCACATAACACGCCGGATGCACTCTTCCACTTCATCCATCCAGCTTGTATTCTATGGTTGAGATCTCCATCTAATTCTCCGTTCTTTTGCAAGATAGATCCTAGGTAACGAAAACGGTCGCTCTTTGGTATTTCTTGATCTCCGATCCTCACCCCTAACTCGTTTTGGCCTCCATTTGCACTGAACTTGCACTCCATATATTCTGTCTTTGATCGGCTTAGGCAAAGACCTTTAGATTCCAACACTTCTCTCCAAAGGTTAAGCTTTGCATTTACCCCTTCCTGAGTTTCATCTATCAACACTATATCGTCTGCGAAAAGCATACACCAAGGAATATCATCTTGAATATGTCTTGTTAACTCATCCATTACCAACGCAAAAAGGTAAGGACTTAAGGATGAGCCTTGATGTAATCCTACAGTTATGGGAAAGCTTTCGGTTTGTTCTTCATGAGTTCTTACGGCAGTCTTTGCTCATTTATACATATCCTTTATAGCTTGGATATATGCTACTCGTACTCCTTTCTTCTCTAAAATCCTCCAAAGAATGTCTTTTGGGACCCTATCTACATTACAAAAAAACAAGTGAACTTAACTACACAATGAGTTAGCAATAATTCTCCGAGAGAAAATCTCACACGAAGAGAAGTTTTTTAACTTTGGGCAGCAATTGTCCTTGGACTTTGGACTTGCCTATTTGTGTGTTTTTATTTATTTATTTTTATTTATTGAAATTAGTTGCTTGAACAAAAAAAAAAAAAAAAAAAAAAAAGTCGGAGGGGAAGTTGAATCATCAAACTCGGTGCAAGAGAGGAGGAGGAAGGAGGAGACTACCACTGAACTGAACCAAATTCCCGCTCTCATTCAATTTCCAGCCCGCCAATATCAGAGGATGCAGAAGAAGCTTTCAAGGCGGCGAAGAGCCACTCGTCGTCCTAAGAAATGCAACAAGCTCTTACACCACCCACGTAATCAGTCCTTTTTCTGTATTCTAATTCTGTTTGGTTTCCCAGAAAATGAAGGAAACATTAATTTTTCAAATCTTCTAGCTGCTGAAAACTGCAATGCTAGAGAAATTAGTTCATAAAATCCCTAAGAAAATTTAATCTGGGTTTCTTTTCTTTTGAATGTTTAATAGTCCATTTATTTGTTTGCTTGTTTTCTCAGGTCAGATTTATAGGAGAAGGAAGTTACTTGAACAAGGGTTGAGTCCCCTTGTTGAGAAGTATTGGTTTCAGAGATATGATCTCTTCTCGAGATACGACGAGGGGATCAGAATGGATGAGCAGGGCTGGTACTCTGTCACGCCTGAACAGATTGCAATCGGACACGCCAAGAGGTGCCAAAGAACAACTGTTATCGATTGCTTCGCGGGCGTTGGCGGCAATGCCATTCAGTTTGCTTCACTGTAAGTTCCCAAACTGTGTTCATATGAGGTGCTGATTTTATGCAAATTATTAGTTACTTGGCAACCTTTTGTATCAAGCTCTAAGCTTTATGGCCTTGATATTTGAAGATATGTTTATCAGGAAATGTAGTGCCTACTTTCAACTTTGGTTAAATCCTGAGAAAGTATGCATTCAAGCTGGGAGCTTTTTTATGTTCGAGTACTTTATCGAAACCGGAGGGTTGAATTTTACTGCTAGACCAGAAAAAATTGCAGTAAATTGTGGATATCGTTTGATTGAAAAATACAATAGAGTACTGGAGCGACGGAGGTATTAAAGGGGGACCTAATGTCTTGTATTCTTGACAGTTTGTACTTTGTAGGCTATTTGCTTCAGTTTATATGAGATTTTATGTGATAGATCAATATTCAATTTAGGGTCTGGTTTTGGATGTTGAATTCTGTCGGGGTTTCATCTTTGATGGACAAGAGTAGGTGGACGTTTTGTATCGAACGACCATTTTCATGCATGTTGGATAAGCTTTTACATTCTCATTATGTATGTGTTTTACAAGAGCTTAATAACTTTGATCTTTGGTCTGTGGTCTCTTAGGCATTGTCACGTTGTTGCTATTGAAATTGATCCCCTAAAGGTGGATATGGCCATTAACAATGCAAAAATATATGGAGTGGAAGATTACATTGATTTCATTGTTGGAGACTTTTTTGAACTTGCACCATCGTTGAAGGTACTGCTTTCCTCTCGGTATTAGTTTCTGAGAATCTATGAAATCATTCTGTATGTAAGCAACCCCATGATGAGGAGGTATGTAACTTTTGATGACATTTGTAGATTTTTTCGTATCTTTGTATAATGATTCATAATTTTGTTGTGTACGATTTGATATTTGATTCAATATTATCTGGGGATTCAAATGAATGAATAACTAAACAGATAAAACTTTGCGTAGTTGTATCTGCTTTATTAGTATCAAACTTTAGAACTATTTTTCTGTAATAGTTTGAGCTGCGTTTACTAATGTACATTTTGTGTCTTTATTTCGTAGGGGGATGTAGTGTTCCTTTCACCACCTTGGGGAGGCCCATCGTACACAAGGGTAAAGAAATTTACACTTGACTTACTCAAGCCAAAAGATGGGTATGTAAAGATGTCTTCATTTTACATTGCATGATGGGAATTAAGGAGAATGTTGACTGTGTGGTGTAGTTTACTGAATATATGAACTACAACAACAACAACAAAGCCTTATCCTCTAAGTGGGGTCGGCTCTATGAACTAAAATAACGATGATGATAAATTTGTCGACACATTAATCTAAATCACAGATGTGAGGCAAGTTATAAGAAGATTTGACCAAAAATTAATTTAAAGTATATCTAAGTTTCGCTTGGACCAGATTGAAATCCTTTGTAGTTTATATAATATAAATAGCTACTTTGATGACATATCTTGGAATTTCTGCTTTTCTGGTTATGGGATGTAGTTCTGAGTTTTGACTCAGTCTCTCACCTTTAGTCCTGGGAAGTGATTCCACACATCCCTTTTCTTGTGTCCTTTGGACAGAATAAATCAAAGGAGAATCAAGGGAAAGAAATAGACCGGTGCACAGGAGCAAAGGGGTGTGTGGAAATCATTTCCCATTGATTTTTACAGACTTACTGTGTTTCATGTTTGGTCTTTTACTTCTTTCCGAGTTGAGGTCCATCTCCATGTTGATCAGGTGTGGTACAAGCTTTTGTATCATAGTTCTTTTTATCAAATAAAAATAAGTTTGAGCGGGTACTTGCAGATGTATGCTGCTCTTTCTGATACGTCATAAATTGGGGGTAAGGCTAGCCGACATTCACCTCTCCCAGACCCTGCGTAAAGCGGGAGCCTTGTGCACTGGGTACGACCACGATGTGTATAAAGCCTACGATCATCCCCAACTTGTTCCTTGCCATCAATTCCTAACCTTTCACATCTTTAAGTCCCTAGAATAGTTTTTCCTAGAATATTAATGTTCTCTCTAGTTTTAACCTTGTTTGGTAAATTTTGTCCTCGAGAAGTTTTCGAACAAAACCAAGTGAAGTGATTATTGTTGTAGTCTTATGTAGACAGTTGTAGTTTGATGTTCTACGTTATCTATTTTATTTTCGTATGTTTATTTTACTATTAATGCATTAAGCACAGGCACGCAATATTTCAAGCTGCTCAAGCGATAACGCCCAACATCATTATGTACTTACCGCGGAATGTAGACTTACACCAAGTGGAAGAACTCTGCTGGTTGTCTTCTCCTCCTCTAGACGTTGAGGTATGGTCCGATACATACAGAGTAATGTGTTATGCACGGAAAATGTCAATCGTATCATGTTTTTTAGTTTTGTTTTGTGATATTAATCTGAATTTCGGACACTATGCGTACGCCCGTGATTGATATTAAATATGCAGATTGAAGAAAATTATGTGCAGAGCTCTCTAAAGGCTATAACAGTCTACTTCAGTGGTGCATCATCCACTCAATGTATATGAAGATGTTAATCGCTTGCTGAATTAGCCGCTTTTCCAGTTTGTTGCTTCCCGATTATAAGTTTTCGTTGACCACGGCCTACAGGAACCAATTTGTCTACAAGTGAGATTAGGGTTGTTTTGTTAGACACAAACATACATACGGAGAAGGTTCAGTTAACTTCCTCAAAATGCTCGATCGTTGGTTTTCATGTACCAATTTCCTTGCAAGATTACATGGTCTGTTGATGTAGACCAATCCTTTTCAAGAAATGTACAGTTGCCGTAAACCGGCATCTCTTCAGAACGATAAAAAAAAAAAAAAAAAAACCGAACGTTTCCAATGGTGTCGATGAAGACAACCAAAAATATGTACCCTACTCTCGTTTATCTGAATGGAACCAAAAACTTGAAAAAAGGCCTTCTCCATTCTCCATGGAGCTCAAGGTCTCTGAGGTATCCACGTCAACCTGGAACGGCCAAATATAAGATCAAAAGAGTGACAGATTTTAGGTAACGCTGCACAGATTAATCGTCAGGTGATTTAAGTCCAGTAATTTTTCTACGATGCAACGGAACACACACCGGAAAACGAACCAGTTTTGGACTCAGATAATAACTACTACATAAAATGATTTCCGCACACCTACTCGCTTGTGTCATGTTTAATTTTGGCATTTGGATTGAATAAATAAATGGAGAATCATTTGATAAAAATGAACAAGGACATGCAATGTCCCAAAAGTAATGTGAGATGAGCCCTTCGGACCAGCGCCAGGATCGTCTCGTTAATTTCCTTCTGCTCAGGTGTGGTGGGAGGTGGAATCTTTAATCTGATTAAAACAAGTTCTGGACAACACTTTCAGAAGTATGATCTTTCCTCCCCATCCAGTTCCTTGACATCAATCTTTTACCTTTTACGCCTCTCAGTCCCTAAAATGGTTGATGCCAGACATTCCGAACCAAAAGCGAAATCTCCAGCAGCAACCGTATCCAGTCCTAATGCGCTGCAACCGTAACTGTTCTTAGTGTCCCGACTCCTACAACTGTGCATAGCCTGAAGTATTTCTCCCCCATCTCTTCATACACAAATCCATACTTAAAGCAACGACAATGAGCCAGGATGCGTTTCTTCAAGTGTCACGTCAAATGAACTCAAGTACCCTGAGATGGTTCCCATGCGACTACAGTTTCTTCATGAAATCTTCAATGGTATCAGCAGCGGCAAACATATTCTTCAGCTTCACTTCATCCCAGAGAAAACGACATGTCTTGTACCTAGGCTTTATCTCTTGACCAATCATCTCCTTGAAGAGAAGGTAAGCCCACTCGCATCTATTTGCTCTGCATAGTCCGTGAATCAAAAGAGTATAGCTGGAGAGGTCGAGACTGAGATGATGTCTATTGACCATGTCATTCAATAATTGAGTCAAACAATCGTCTACTTTTCCAGTTTTGAAGCACATTTTAAGCAATGGATAGTACGTCTGAACATCAGGTTTGCATAACCCTGCATTTTCCATCTGCAGGAGGACATTAAAGGCCTTTTGCTCTTCCCCGTGGTGGCAAAACATGGCAATCATTGTATTGTAAGTTGATGTATTAGGAGGAACCCCCTTCTCAGGCATTTCAACGTCGAAGACATGGACAGCCTCTCGGACTCGGCCAGCTCTTCCTAGTGTGTGGATCAGTGAATTGTAGAAAAGTGTATCGGGATCACATCCAGCAGATTTCATTCTCTCATATAACTGCAAAGCTTCCTCAAACTCCTCGGACTTTGCTAGAAAACACATGACAGAGGTATATGTGACGACATTTGGGGAGCACCCCTGAGCTTCCATTTCATCAAACAATTCATAGACCTTACCAAAATTGTATTGGTGGCAATAAAACAGGATGATGGTCGAGTAACTGATGACACAAGGGCGATAGCCATGTCCCTTCATCTCTTGGATTGTCCAATGTGCCTCGTCAACCCGTTTGATCTTGCACCAACCGTGAATGAAAATGTTAAAGGTATGAGCATTGGACGAGATATGTGATTTCAGCTCTAAGAAGATCTCACGGGCCTTCTCAACTTTGTTCTCCTTGCAAAGGGTGTCAAGCAATAAGTTCATAGATTCTGTGTTCTTCTCCAACCCAAAACTTCCTAAATCATCAAATATCCTCACAGAGTCCTCCCATTTCCCTGCACCAGCAAACCTTCTCATAACCTTACCTACGGTGTTAAGAGTCACCAGATGATCCTGGCGCATTTTTTCTAACAAACCCGTTATCTTATCCAATTGCTTCATTTTACCCAAAATGTCAACTATCAAATCATATGCATCTGGGGTGGGTTTATAGTCGGAGCATAACTCTACCCATCTAAATACACCCAATGCAGACTTCCAATCATTCTTAAACCGATGAAACAGTTGATCAACAAGTTTATCCGTGAGCTGAATGCTATTACATGCTTGATCTTGTGCAAGAGACCGTAGAACTTCATCATCACTGCTTCCAACAGATACTTTAGATATGATGATGTCAAGGTCAGATAGTCTTGTAGAGTCTTCAAACTGTGACGATCCCAGCGGAGAAGAAAAAATTGAAGAAAGAGCAGATGAGCAATTTTCAGGAGAGGTATGGAAAAAGGAGCAAGGTTTTGAAGTATTGCGTCGGAAGCGAAGGCTTTTAAAGCATTTCTGAATATGGAAGACCATGAAGATGTCCACAGGAAATGAAAAGATTATGTCTTTTAGCTCCTGCAACAAGCTTACTTTAGTATATATTCCAATAGAAAATTGGGGAAGAAAATAGAAATGTGAACTAGCATTTTACATTGAAAAGATAATTGATGACCATAGAAACTAAATTAGTATATGAATGGACGTGCTTTAACATTGTTGACAAAAACATAAATTAAAATTAACGTATTTTCTTGTGAAGTATATGAAACTAAATGAACTTCCAAGAACAGGACAGAAACAAACACATGATTGTTCCATAATGGAACAAGGACTTAATTTTACAACTTTTAGCATGTTTATAAGAGAGGCATAATTTTTTTTTAATAAAAAACAAATATTTAAAACAGATCAAAGAAAATACAAAACAGAATGGACAAGAAGGCCATAAAGAATCAAATCACAGATATTGACTTTGCCATGGACAACCAGCCAAGCAACAGGACTTTGGTAGGCACCCCAACTTCCAAATAAACTTAAAAGAAGTGAAGTGAGGACGGTTCGGGTTATCTAATGAAGACATCAAAAAGCACTTACAGGAGAAGACTCCAGATCCCTGAAATTATAAACTACTCCTGTCAGCACAGGAAGGAAGCAAAGTACAGTTACTAATACTCATCCAACTTCCTAACACTAGATTTCTCCTAAAACTGTAATTCAAATAAACCACATGGGAGGAAGAAAGATAAGCCAAGAACTCAATGGTGGAATCACAGTTCAAGTAGGATCTGCACAGGTTTGGAAACAGTGTCTGGAACGATGAGGCACCACAAGTTTAATAGAGAAGAAAAATATAGGGTACCCTGAGAAATGTCTTCCAAGGACACCAAATTGAACATTTGTTCCGTTTACCCTACTGTCATACACGGTAGTGGAGCGCCAGTTTCACATGTTTTAACTCTGTCAGAGCACTTTGAAAAAAGTGGTCTGTGGTATCTGGAAAGCTGATGTTGCGTGTGAATATTACAGACAGCTTTATCCAAGGAGATTCGACTATCGAGATTCGGATAGCGGTGCCTCTTCGATTTTTGAGCAAGCAATCTTGTTGGGAGTGTTTTCTCGAATGTGAGTAAAGGTTGGGCATGTTTGCTAGTCTACCTTACCACGAAGCACAGAGGTTGACACACAGGGACTTTCCAATTATCCAGCAATGGTACTGTTCTTTTACCCTCTCTTCGATTTTTGAGAAAGTAGTCATGTTGGGAGTCTGGCTCTCGAGATTCGGAGGACGATGCATCTTCGATTTTGGAGCAAGCAATCTTGTTGGGAGTGTTTTCTCGAATGTGAGTAAAGGTTGGGCATGTTTGCTAGTATACCTTGCCACGAAGCACAGAGGTTGACACACAGGGACTTTCCAATTATCCAGCAGTGGTACTGTTCCTTTACCCTTGTAGGTAATAATATGGTAGCTAGACCTTCAAAATTTATGTGTCTAAACTTTGTTAGTGCTGTTTCTTTGCTATTCTTTTACCCTTCTTGGTCAGAGCGATGTAGTGGAAGCTGCAAGCTTCACGAACTTTGGCAGAGAACTTTAGCAAAGTTATCTGTGGTACCCATGAGCTACTATTGCGTGTGGGAAGTGGGTGATTGAACAGTAAGACTCATGTGCTTTCTACTTCACCAGAAGTCTTCGACAGAATGCTCATAATTTCCGCAAAGCTGAGTGTGCGTGTGACATGTGCTGACAAGGCTGAAAAAGTAGGTGCCTCTTCGATTTCTGAGATCGGCCCTCGTGGTCTCTGAGCAGCCCAACTTTTGAGAAAGCAAGCGTCTCTTCGATTTCTGAGATCGGTCTTCATGGTCTTTAAGCAGCCCAACTTTTGAGAAAGCAAACGCCTCTTCGATTTCTGAGATCGACCCTCATGGTCTCTGAGCAGCCCAGCTTTTGAGAAAGCAAACGCCTCTTCGATTTCTGAAGCTCCGTTGAGTGCAGATTTTTATAGGGGCTGGCATTAAGTTCCAAAGCACACTTGAATCTCCACCAGTAGAAGCTCCATTCTTGCACTTCTAAGATCTTGATTTGTCCGACCTCTTCTCTCTTCAACACATTTGAAAATGTCTGGCCCCTCCGACCGTCGTTTTGACTTGAACCTTGTTGAAGAGGCAGCCCCGCCTTCTCCAGACAACATATGGCGCCAATCATTCGTCTCCTTTACTGGTCCTCTTACCGTTGGGGATTCCGTGATGAAGAATGATATAACCGCTGCGGTGGTGGTCATGAACCTTCTCAATCCCTAAGATAACAGACTCCTTTCCAAACGGTCTGATGAGTTAGCTGTTAAGGATTCTCTGGCTCTCAGTGTTCAGTGTGTAGGTTCTGTGTCTAATATGGCCTAACACCTATTTGCTCGAACCCGCCAAGTTGAATCATTGGCGGCTGAAGTGATGAGTCTCAAACAGGAGATTAGAGGGCTCAAGCATGAGAATAAACAGTTGCACCGGCTCGCACATGACTATGCTACAAACATGAAGAGGAAGCTTGACCAGATGAAGGAATCTGATGGTCAGGTTTTACTTGATCATCAGAGATTTGTGGGTTTGTTCCAAAGGCATTTATTGCCTTCGTCTTCTGGGGCTGTACCGCGTAATGAAGCTCCAAATGACCAACCTCTGATGCCTCCTCCTTCTAGGGTTCTGTCCAGTACTGAGGCTCCGAATGATCCCCCTCCGGTGCCTTCTCTTTCTGGGGCTCTACCGACTGCTGAGACTTCTCCTAAGCAACCTTTGTGAAAGCTCCCTCTTGTTTGTTGATTTTGACTTATGTATATGTACAAATTTGTAGCTTATCGGGGATATCAATAAATAAGCTTTCCTTCATTTCAACGTATTGTGTTAAATACACCAAAGCCTTCTTCGCTAAGTTCTTTGAATTTTCTTTTGTTGAAGCTTTATGAGTGGAGCATATAGGTTGAGGTAGTGTTCCTTTAATTTCCTGAGTGAGGAAAACTTATCGGTTAGAGACTTGGAAAATCCAAGTCACTGAGTGGGATCGGCTATATGAATCTTAGAACGCCATTGTGCTCGGTCCTGTGTCATGTCCTTCGTTAGATCCAAGTACTCTAAGTCTTTTTCTTAGAGTCTCTTCCAAAGTTTTCCTAGGTCTTCCTCTACCCCTTCGGCCCTGAACCTCTGTCCCATAGTCGCATCTTCTAATCGGAGCGTCAGTAGGCATTCCTTGTCACATGTCCAAACCATCGTAACCGATTTTCTCTCATCTTTCTTTCAATTTCGGCTACTCCTACTTTACCCCGGATATTCTTATTCCTAATCTTATCCTTTCTCGTGTGCCCACACATCCAACGAAACATCCTCATCTCCGCTACACCCATTTTGTGTACGTGTTGATGCTTCACCGCCCAACATTCTGTGCAATACAGCATCGCCGGCCTTATTGCCGTCCTATAAAATTTTCCCTTGAGCTTCAGTGACATACGGCGGTCACACAACACGTCGGATGCACTCTTCCACTTCATCCATCCAGCTTGTATTCTATGGTTGAGATCTCCATCTAATTCTTCGTTCTTTTGCAAGATAGATCCTAGGTAACGAAAACGATCGCTCTTTGGTATTTCTTGATCTCCGATCCTCACCCCTAACTCGTTTTGGCCTCCATTTGCACTGAACTTACACTCTATATATTCTGTCTTTGATCGGCTTAGGCGAAGACCTTTAGATTCCAACACTTATCTCCAAAGGTTAAGCTTTTATGAAAAGTGGGTATAAAAAAAACTAAACTAAAACAGGTATTCGGTAAACACTTAAAAATAACTTATTTTCACAGTTTTGGATGAAAAAAAAACTGAAAACGTGAAGCAGCAAAAATGAGCTTATTCTCAAAGCACAACAGAAGCTGTTTTTTTTCCAAAGGCACAGCAATACCAAACCAGCTCTTAGAAATATCCTTGAACAACGGTAAAAATACACAGAATGTTACTATTAATTTTCTGTCAAAAATTACACACATGCAAAGTGCATGATAATTTGTAAAACCCATTTTCCGGCCTATGGACAAAGCCTCTCCCTTTCTACCATACAACATTATCAGAAAACACTTGTTCAACATTACATCCCCCTTCGTTTAAAGCATCCGCCACGAAATTGGACCTACGTACATCACCTGCTCCCTATTCTTCATCTTCTTCATCTTCATCTTCTTCTTCGGCTTCTCTCAACCACTGAGACAAGACACAAAAGATGAAACTGCTGTGAAGCAAGGCTAACATCATACGAAATTTAACTAAAAAAGATACACTATTAAGTTCATGCCATCAAATTTTGGTTGCCAGAAATCAACTTTTTCATTCAATAAATTAACCCGAATTGTGAACTATTCTCTTATGTTGAATGCATATGGACATAACAGAGACTTCTATGTCAAATTTCGACGTATTTCATTTTAAAAAGCTCAGCCACTGGAGTGAATTTGCAAAACTGATAGAATAAATAATTGCACCTAGTGCAATGGCAGCATGCGTGCGTTATGTTATATAATGATTATTAATCATCGCGTAAGGTAATAGAACAGAAATCAAATAATAGTACTTACTTGAATAAAGGCCGCTGATTGCTTGACATAAACTCTATCTGTTTCCTCTGCATTTTTCTTTTCGGCATCCCACCTCATAATAGCTTCTTCTTGTATAATTTCTAGTTCGTACAGTTGATGCAATATCTGGAAAAGAAAATTATAACAGTCAGAAAATAAATTAAAACTGATCAAAATTGCAAACGAAATTAAGGATAATAAAAAGGGCTAAGTTACAACAAATATTTCATTTAACTTTGGCAAAGCGTTTATTCAAAAATGTTTCTGAGATGGCTTTATCCATAGCTTTTCATTGCTTAAGAAAGAAAGCCTGGCAAAAGCACTTGGCAGAAACATATCCACCATTTCTATATGCTTGGTTTATGATCGTGTGTGTAGGAAGACATACCTTGTCGAACACAGGAGAGAATTCCTTAAAGGACTCACACATTTCTTCAAATCTAAGTATCACTTCAATCTGGAAATTGAAAAATACTCAGTACAAAAACACTAACCAAAATAAGCATCGCAATTCTGTAAAGGTAAAATTAGCAACACAGTTTATACAGGAATAATCAGCATCGCATTAACAACCGTCAAAACGAAGGGATCATGGTGTCCAGCAGTTAACTCGAAAAAGTGAACATAAAATTTACTAATTGGACTTAATATGCCTTATATAGGATAGGATATTTGACCTACTCGGGGTTCAAGTCAAATGGAAACAAAGGTTAATATGACTGCACAGGGAACACACACGCTACCGTCAAAGCTTAAGAAAGTAAATGAATAATGCAGATATAAAAATGAAATCAGCACGTCTGCAGAAGCTTGGAAGGGAGGGGACATTTCACATGTAACTAATCTCACTAGTGAGAGAGACCATTGTAGAGTTTAATGGTTGAAGAAGCGAATACAAGCATGAAAGAAAAGGATTCAACTACAAACCTCCTCGTCTATTTCTGCTAGGTAAGACTTCAGCATTTTTTTCCAATTTGTAAATATGTTAACAGTAGCTTGAACCAATTCACCTAAGAAAGGAATTGAACAAGATTTAGTTAAGACCATATGTCAAGAAGCAAGACAAACAACATTTTATTTATTTATTTATTTTGTCAAAGCAAGACAAACAACGTTAGTAATACGAAAATAGCACTCACACTGCAGCTGAGCAAAAATTACAATGTAATTGTTCAATTAAGATATGGATGCTGTAAAACAAACTTAGAAAACCTTGACCACTTCATGTAT